AATTACTGACAATATAATTAATCAACTTCTCGAATCTAAAAGTAGTACCACTCAATAAAAAATTAATCTTCCGATCGGGCTTGACATGATAATCCTTCTTGAGCTCATTTCGGGGATGTCGTCAACCCGGTCTGTCGAGATACAGTGACCATAAATAATATTGACGACACATCATGAAACCAACATTACTTACCAAAATATTGAGTATGTCGATCTACCAGATTAAGTCTCACCCTTGATAAGAAAATAAATAAGTGCCAACCATATATGTATGTAATTGTCTTACGGGTTAAGAATACCAACAAATAATGAGGCCTAGATTATTTACTTGGTCAGTATAAAATAACCTTATCCTCCTTTGTGTCGTTTAATACATCCAAGATGTACTAAGATCTATTAATTGAGAAATGCTACATTGCCAACCTAGTGTACAACTAGGTTGACAACACAAGTAAAAAATATCCATAAAAATAAAGATAAAAAAAATACACAAGTGGATCTTTTCACTTTATTGTCAACCTAGTTGTACACTAAGTTGGCTATGTATCATTTTTCCTATTAATTTCAAGATTCACACTACAGTATTTCACAACGGAGAGTTCAGTTCCCGTCTAGATTGTGACCCATCATTTATATTTTATAAAGAACTGATAATATGATCATATTGTTTTAGACCCAGAACCATATTACCTACAATGTAAAATAAAGGAACACTGTTCGCATAAATAAATTAAATACGAACATCCACTCGACTAATAACTTCTATAAAAAAACCCAATTTTCCATTGAAAAGACCGGAAGCGAAGTTCATTCAAAATGGAATTGTTGAGAAACACAAAGTCGAGCTTTTACACTGTAATCCAACACATAGGTAACCGCATAAGTAACTCGCACTTGCTCAATCAACTTCGCATGTTTGTTGCATGCTTTATCGCAAAATTTGTTTTGCGCTATACTTAATGAACTTTGCTTTTGTGTCACATATCATATCGTATAAATATTTCACCCTTTATAAATTATCTTCGCCTTTTTGTCGCATAATTTATCGTTTATTATTTTTGCACTTTATCAATTATCTTCTAATGTCGCATAGGTTATCGCATACTATTATCAAAATTTATAAATTATCTTCGCCTTGTATGTTGCATTTGTTATCGCATATCTATTTCATACTTTATCAATTATCTTCCTTTGTTTGTCGCATAACTTTTTGCATCAATTATTTTTGTTTGTTTGTCGCATAGTTTATCACATAACTATTTTGCACCTTATCAATTATCTTCGCATGTCTGTCGCATAGCTTTTTGCATAATTTTTTGCACTTTATCAATTATCTTCGTCTGTCCATCGCCTAGCTTTTTGCATCAATTATCTTCATCTATTTCTCCCATAGTTTATCGCATAATTGTTTAGCACTTCATTAATTATGCGCGTTTGTGTGTAGCATATTTTATCGCATAACTATTTCGCATTGTATCATTTATCTTCGGTCAATCGCATAACTATTCGAATCAATTATCTTCATTTGTCTGTCGCATTGTTTATCGCATCATTGTTTCGTACTTTATTAATTATGCTTGCCTATTTGTCGCATTGTTTATCGCATTACTATTTTGAACTTTATCAATTAGTCAGTTTGTCGCATAGTTTATCGCATAACTGTTTCGCACTTTATCAATTATCTTCGGTGTATTGCATAGTTTATCGCATACTTGTTCAATTATGTTCGTCTATTTGCCGCATAGTTTATCGCATAATTATTTCGCATTTTATCAATTATCTACGCCTTTCCGTCGCATAACTTATCATATAATTCCTTTCGCACTTTAAAAGTTAAAAAATTAACTTATTATTGGCGGTGTGTAATTTTTCGTCTTCATATCGGGATATTTACCATAGAGGAATTTGCACCCCATACTAGCATACTCAATTTATATCACTTATACACCCATTTTATTTTTATTTATAAAATAGCCAAACCAAAAACAGAATATTTCAAATATACCTAATATGGTGCAAAATCCTTTTAACCGTTACTAAGCAATTTTTAGGCAAATTAAATACATTGAGGTCAATAATTGAGATATACTGATGGAAGAATTTAATCTCTCTCTCTCTCTAAATCGGAATAATTAATTTTCTCTCTCTGTAAAAACCTCCGTCCACGTTCACCATCTCTCTCAGTTTCGGATCGCAATTTTTTTTTTTAGAATTTTTTGTCCATCCCAAAAAATTTATCTATTTGTCTTCATATCATCAGGTCCTGTCAAATCTGATAGCCATTTTTCTGTTATCAACAACAAAAAAAAGAAAGAAGAAAGAGAGAAAAAACACAAATCTAATTGAGTTTTGAGTGCGATGGATTGAGTGCAAGCGATTGAGTGTTGCATGCAAGTGAGAGAAAAAAAAAAGGAAAACACAAAAAAAATATAATAATTGTAATCGGTTGTTGCATCTGTTTTTTTGTTTTTCTCCTCTGATCTGTGCTAGTGTGATTAATTGCTGAAGCTGAAGCACCCCGTCCACGTCTACGTGTCTGGCCGATTGCGTCTGTCTCAGTCCCCACCCGCTCTCGATTGCATTGGTTGTGCGTCTTGGACCTCGCCCACGTCCAGCAGAGTTTGCGACGCCGCTGCATCAGCTCCTTTCTCTCGCATCCCGTCGCACACGTCTAGCGATTGTAGAGAGGCTACAGCTCGGCTCTACATGTGGTGTTTACATTTAATATATGTATGATAAATGATTGGTGATGTTTCAGCTGATGATGTTTCAACCTTCTTGAGATTTTTTTCGTTTGATTTATTATGTTGTGGGATATGGTGCATTTATATACAGTATATTTTTTAATATATGTTCCTGTAAGCAAATCAACGGTATATGTTGCGTGTATAGACAGTATATGTTCAGTATATGTTTTCGTTACTCGTGGTTCGTGTGTTTATCATCTGACATGTGTTTCATTTGTTTATATTATACTCTACATATACTTGGTAGCGTTGAAAGCGGACGGAAACGGTCGGAAAAACCCCATTGCTACTTCCGTTTCTATATTTGTTGGCAGAAACGGGGTCGGGTTCGGAAAATTCGAGTTCGGAAACGGACGGGTGATATTCGGATGCACGGAAACGAACCAATACGGACGGTAATTCAACGGAAACGGTCGGAAGTCGGAAACTGAAGCCGGAATAACGCCCATCTTCAAACTCACAATCATAATGACACATATCTTAGTTCATACGAAATTGATTTCAAACGTTCAAACGAAATTCAAAGGTTCAAACGAAATTGACACGCTTAGTTCATACCGCAATTAACATACCACAACACATGGGAATTGACAGTTGACACTTGACACACTTAGTTCATTGACAGTTGACACACTTAGTTCATACCACAACTAAAAAACATGACGTATTTTTAAGGGATCTCCATCACAGCTCTCCAGCATCATCCATCTCATCAGGATCACTTTCACTATCATCATTTAGGGGGACCTGCTCCTCCTCCATGGTGTCATCCGGTTTCAGATCAGCCACTATGGATGGAATGCATTGACGACCTAAAAGACAAAAGAAAGATGGGGTCAGTATATGTACAGCACCAATTAGGACAGTTTAGCTAAACAATTTAGAAAAATAGTACCTTTTGTTCTTGCATGTATCCAATCCTTGGTGCAGACAAGTGCTTCAACCATTTCAGGGTCAAGACGATTACGATAAAGGATTAAGAACACGTCCAGCACCACTAAATGCGGACTCAGAAGCAACTGTGGACACTTGTATGGACATCAAATCACGAGCAATCTGTGAAAGAATAGGGTACTTGTCTGTTTGGTTCTTCCAATATGCCAAAATATCAAATGAATCTTGCTTCAACAGTGGCTCTGCCATGTATATGTCCAACTCATTTAACTCATTTCCATTAGGCCCACAATCATCATATAAGAAGCTCTCTAGTTCAGAATTTCGTCTGGCACCAAATGTTTCTCCTGGGGCATCCACAACCACACTAGGACTTGAAGAAGCAGGTTTAGAAGCACTATAAAATTGGTACAGCTTCCTCATAAGAGTAATAAAATCCTCAAGTTGAACTTGATAGTAGGCACCAGCAAACTTCATCATTTAGAATTCTATAACCTTCTTTTTATACCTAGGATCAAAAAAGCATGCTACAGCAAGACTTGTACTAGAACAACTCCAATATTTTTCAAACTTTTCACTCATGGCAGTAGCCATTTGCTTAATAGTCAAGTTCTTATGATTCTTCCATACACTAAGTAACTCTCTTATCTCACAAAAGCCTCTATAGAATAGATTTGCAGTGGGATATGAGATACCAGAAAGCAGTGCAGTAAGATCATAAAATATTTCCAAGCATTGAAATACTGTAGCAGCCATGCCCCAATCAGTATCAGAGGGAGAAATTTTCTCATACTTACGGCGATTTGCAATCTTGAGCCTAATGAAAGCAGGCTTGTAGTACAGTGCATCTCGGAGCATCATATAAGTTGAGTTCCATCTAGTTGACACATCAAGTTGAATGTCCTTTGATGTATCCAACCCACACTGAGCAGCACATTTCATAAGCTCCTCTCATTACAAGGGAGAGCCCTTCACAGCCAATACCAATGCTTTAATCTTTTCTAATTGTTTTGAAATAACAGCCATCCTATCTTTAGCAACCAAGTTAAGTATGTGGCATGCACATCTAATGTGGAAAAATATGCCATCACAAACCAAAGAACCATTTCCATTCAGTTTAAAATCCTCAATAATATCTGTGACTGCTACTAAATTATTTGATGCATTGTCCAAAGTCAAGGCAAACATTTTCTTCTCAACAAACCATTTGACCAATACTTCAGTAAAGGCCTGTGCCAACCTATGACCAGTGTGTCGTCCCTCTAGATGAAACAAAGCCACAATCCTCTTCTGAATTTTCCAATCATCATCTATCCAATGCAAAGTCACACACATGTAACTTTTGTTCTGACATGATGTCTATACATCCATGGTTGCACTAAAGCGAGATGGCACTTTTTTCATGAGATCATACAACTTATCTTTTTCTTCTGTATACATGTCCATTATATCTTTTCTAGCAGTGACCCTTGACTTGAAGGCAAAGTTTGGACGCAAAGACTTAAGGGCATCAACAAAGTACTCATGCTCAACCATATTGAACGGGTATTCATGCATAATTATTGCCAAATAGAATTTTTTTATACTAGTCTCAAGGTCATACTTGAAAGCCTGCACTAAAGTTACATCTTTTCCACGGTCTCTTTCAGTCTTGAGCTGCAACTGACCTTTTACAATGCTGTGGGTTGATCTCAAATGGCTCTGAAATGCATTTGTTCCATTGACAGACTCGGCTCTGTACCTAGCGCTGCACTTTGGGAAGTTGCAGTAGCCCCACAGTTGCTCATACTTCTTGCCGTCAACCTCTACTACCACTGTCTTCTTGGTAAAATATTGCCACACAGCAGATGTGCACCTTTTCTTCCTCTTTCCTGTTGTCCCACCAACCTCCTCTCCCTCAGCCTCAGCATCCTCATCGTCAAGGGCAATTATTTCTTCATTGCTTAAATGATTTGCCTCTTGGTTCGGAGGGACTGTGTCTTCATTTTGTGCCACTGAACATGATGCTGACGACACACCGGCATTCACCTTACCTATCAAAACAACAATAAAATTCTTATAAATTTGTAGATCAGAATGTAGGTCATCATTCCTAACAGATCAGAATGCAGGAACAGGTCATCTACACTACACACACTGTAGGTCATCGTTCCTACCACCTACAGACTCTGAGATTACTCTGAGATAGAGGGGGGAAAATGGTGCTTACCAGTAATGGATCCGCTGCTGCTGTCTTTAATCGATGGTGCTGGCTCCGGCGGGTCTGGCAACATGGTCCCCAAACCGAGATGCTTGTCCGGCGGCATCGAGAAGGCACGGCTTCCTCTACCACGAGCTGCCGACAACGAGTTGGAACGAGCAAGATTTGACATGGCCGAACTCAGCAGGACCGGCGTGGAGGCGTTAGGGCGGCGGCCGGCGACTGCCTGGAGTGTGGCCGGGTGGTGTGGAGGCGAGACCGCGCGACTGCGAGAGGGTGGGGTGGCGGCTGGCGTGGACTGGAGGGAATGGGAAATATTAGGCGGACAGGGACAGGGTATTAGGGTTTTTTCAATGGGCTATTGACTGTTGGGCTTGGGCCTTTTAAATTGAATATGTTAATGGACCTGACATCCAGGTGAAATCCGGTACTAATCCAGAATTATTCCGACAAAATACGGGATTTCGCAAATATGGACGGAAAAATTATGTTTCTACTTCCTTCCGTATTCCGACAACCCCTTTACCGTATTCCGTTTGATTCTGGATTTTTCCGAAAATACGAAACCGGACGGGTGAAATGTAGAAAAACGGGCGGGAAATTCTGGGAAAAATTCCTTCCGTTTTCAACCCTAATACTTGGTATAAGTAACTTGCTATAATATGTTTATAAACTATATATATATATATATATGCTTTTTTGATGGATTTTTTTTGTATATGTATGGTTTATGTTTTAGTAAAACTATTTACAAAGCATAACAGTAAATAAACAATTTATGTAAGCTCAACATATACTAAAAAATATCTAAAAACTGATTTAAAAACAAGCATAAACTAAATTTTTACATAATACATTCATCTATGTAACTGTTATTAAGGAATTCTCGGCAGTTAAAATGTGATTAAGGTTTATATTCAGTATATTTATGATATATGCTGCAGTGTCTACCATCTCTTCAGCTATGTTCCTCTTTGGAAAAAAAAAAGGAAATTTGTTGTTTCCATAATATCTGCATGCTTTTTTTCTATCATATTGATTCTATAATATCTGCAAGATTGTTTTATTTTTTTATTTAGTAACTAGAAATCACGCCATAGAATGGGACGAAGGTTAACATTAGACAGTAACTAAATTTAGACATTAATTCAATTAAATGTTATTTTTTAGGTATAGACACAATAAATTATATCTGTATGGTATGACTGCAATATCTTTATAATCACGTAGGGTAGGATAGATAAAAATTTCTCTTTACTAATGCTCTCCTACCCACGGTGGGCATATGTTAATATGCCCACCGCTTATGTGGCATGCACACATTGGTGATGTATTTTTTTGAACATATTAACATCACTAATATGTGCATGCCACGTAAGCGGTGGACATATTAACATGTGCCCCACCGTGGTAGGGGAGCATTACTATTACTATATCCCACATCGGTTGTGAAGGAGAACGAAGCATGCCTTATAAGTGGCTGTGGATACCTTCACTAGTAGGACGCGTTTTGGTGAGCTAGCTCCCAAAGGAAAAACCGTGAGAGAATGATCTGGTGTATACCCAAAGCGGACAATATCCTACTACGGGTTGGCTGGGCTGTTACAGTTGGTATCAGAGCCAGTACCCGGACTGGTGTGCCAGCGAGGACGCTGGGCCCTCCAAGGGGTGGATCAGGTCAGGTATCCCACATCGGTTGTGAAGGAGAACGAAGCATGCCTTATAATAAAGTGTGGATACCTTCACTAGTAGGACGCGTTTTGGTGAGCTAGCTCCCAAAGGCAAAACTGTGAGGGAATGATCTGGTGTATACCCAAAGCGGACAATATTCTACTACGGGTTGTTACAGTTATTGTTGTTTTTTTTCTCATTCCTCAACAAATATTATCCTGTTATACATAAGTGGAATCTTACCACTATTAAACATTATCATTGTCATTATTATATTATTAGTGTGTGTGTTGCATTGAATTGTATGCCCAAAATGTGCCTATAAAAGGCAAGTGTTTCTTACAATTTATATACGAAAAAAGTAGTGAAGAAGGAAAGATATTTCAGTACAATTGATATCCGGTTTTTATACATTGTGTTCTTTATTTTCATCGCATTTCATAACACGTTATCAGCACGAACGCTCTACCCGGTCAAAAAAGGTAGGATATATATACATATTACTATTATTCTTGACAAGTTAGGCTCTGCCACAGTCAAGAATATATATACATATTGCTATTATTTTTGACAAGTTAGGCTCTGCCACAGTCAAAAATATATATATATTACTATTATTCTTGACAAGTTAGGCTCTGCCACAGTCAAGATATGTATACTAAATATGATATTATATACACATTACCATTATTATTGGCAAATTAGGCTATGCCATAGCCAATAATATGTGGTGATATGATATTATTAAATTTGCTTATGAATTATTTTTCAAGTTGTAATAAATGTTATTATTTATACTTAACACCCATAAAAATGGTTTACCCAGTAATGTGGCGTGAAATTTATAATTGTTTATTCTTGTACTTACCATAAAATTTATCAAATAATGTGGAGCATTTCTTTTACTTGTTTTGTTATATTCGCGAAAATGTTCATCAAATAATTCGAAAATTTTTTTTAAGGTAATATACATGATTAATTAGAATTTTATGATCATAAATGATTAATTAGCAAATATTATATCGTTAAATTTGGTTCCAACGGCTACTTAACGACTATATTGCAGCGGCTATTTACCAATATCTATATATAACACTACAATTCATTTTCATAATACAAACACTCAAAATATATTGTTTTAAGAAAAAAAAATGTTTGATCCATTACTTATAATTACCATTATCTTGTTTATTATATATGTTTTCCTAATTTTCAAAATGATGTATCGTACTGTTGGATTTAAAATTTATGTATTAGGCCTTTGTATAATGTGTTTAGTTTTTGCTCTTGTGTACGTCTTGAAGAATTAATGATTGATATGTAATTTTTTTGAATCTCAGCATTGATGTTTTATTTTATAGTTATCATGGCAAATCTGGTCAAACTCGAATTCGAAGCTCTCGATATCTCTAGGAAAAATTATATCTCATGGACATTGGATGCCGAAATTCATTTGGCGGCAAGGGGATAGGAAAAAAACAATAATATCCCCAAATGATTCTTCAATACAGGATAAAGCTAAAGCAATGAAATTTCTAAGGCATCATTTGAATGAGGCTTTGAAAAATGAATATTTAACTGTTAAAGATCCTGCGGATCTATGGAATGCCTTGAAAGAAAGGTATGATCACCAGAAAACGGTGATTCTCCCCCAGGCTCGTTACGAATGGATGCATTTACGCTTTCAAGATTTCAAAACTGTTAACGAGTACAATTCGGCCATGTTCCGCATTTGTTCGGTATTGAAATTATGCGGAGAAAACATAACTGATTATGATATGCTGGAAAAAACGTTGTCCACGTTCCACGCTTCAAATGTACTATTGCAGCAACAATACAGAGCAAAAGGCTTTGTAAAATATTCTGAGTTGATTTCTTGTTTGCTGTTGGCTGAACAAAATAACGAGTTGTTGATGAAAAATCATGAATCTAGACCCACGGGGTCTACTGCGGTCCCTGAAATAAATTATGTAATATCTAAACAGGGAACCGGAACTGAAAACAGCCAGACATATGTGCGTGGAAATACCTCGGGACGTGGCCGGGGTCGTGGACGTGGACGTGGCCGTGGCCGTGGATATGGCCCAGATCGCCGATTTGACCAAGGATTCAAATTTCACAGAGGGTACAACTCGGGCCGAGGGAATTATCGTGGACGAGGCCGTGGCTATGTCCAAAATTTTGAAAGGGGGAGAAATTTTCAGCCAAAATTTGAACAAAATAATGTGACGGAAAATAATAATGAAAATGCATGTTATCGATGTGGAAAGACAGGACATTGGGCACGAAACTGTCGTGCTCCGAAACACGTTGTTGATAAATATAATGATTCCCAGAAATCAAAAGATAAAAATGTAGAAACTAATTTTATAGTTAGGGAATCCTCTGAAAATAATACAACACGTGTAGATGATGACTATGGCATTGATGACATGTTGAACCTGGATTTTGCTGATGCGATATTTGAAGAAAGAGCTGGAAATGACCAAGAGAACAACTGATTATCCTGTTTCTTTTATTGCTTTCTAAGTTTTTTTTGTTGTATTTGCGTATTTGTACCAGTTGTATCTGTATTTAAAATTTGATCAATAATAATGTTGTTTTCTTTTAGATCATGGATCGGTCTCGAATTCAAAATGGAGATATATGTCTTGCAGATTGTGCCACAACTCATACTATACTCAAGGACAGAAAATATTTTGTCAACTTGAAGTTAAATAAAGCAAAAGTAAACACAATATCTGGAAATGCAAAGATAATTGAGGGTTCTGGAAAAGCCATATTTTTTTATGATGGGAGGTACAAAGTTTACATTGAATGATGCATTATTCTCCCTGAAATCAACAAGAAACTTGTTGAGTTTTAAAGATATCCGAATGAACGGATACTATGTTGAAACAATGAATGAAGGGGGAGTTGAATATCTTTGCATTACCTCAAATGTTGCGGGAAATAAATGTGTTTTGGAGAAATTGCCAGCTTTATCATCGGGCTTATATTACACCCACATTTATATTATTGAGACTTATGCTGCAACAAAGTCACAGGCGAATGAAATGTTTAAACTTTGGCATGATAGACTTAGTCATCCTGGCTCGATAATGATGCGAAGAATTATTGAAAATTCTAGTGGGCATCCATTAAAAAATCAGAGGATATTGCAAACACGTGAATTGACGTGTACCTCATGTTCTCAAGGGAAATTGATAATAAGACCATCACATACTAAAATCGGACATGAATCACCGTTATTATTGGAAAGAATTCATGGTGATATATGTGGACCTATTCATCCACCTTGTGGTCCATTCAGATATTTTATGGTGTTAATTGATGCTTCTAGTAGATGGTCTCACGCGAGTTTGTTATCCACGAGAAATGTGGCATTTGCTAAATTACTTGCCCAACTTATCAAATTAAGGGCTCAATTCCCAGATTATATTATAAAAAGGGTCAGACTGGACAATGCTGGAGAATTTACATCTCAAGCATTTAATGATTATTGTATGGCAGTGGGAATTGATGTTGAACATCCTGTAGCACATGTTCACACTCAAAATGGTCTAGCAGAATCATTGATTAAACGACTGCAGCTTATAGCCAGACCATTGATAATGAGGACAAAACTGCCCACTTCAGTATGGGGACATGCTATTCTGCATGCAGATAATCTAATTCGCATAAGACCAAGTGCACACCATACATACTCGCCATTACAATTGGCATCTGGTCGAGAACCAAATATTGCACACATAAGAATTTTTGGTTGTGCAGTGTATGTACCAATTGCTCCGCCCCAACGTACGAAAATGGGGCCTCAAAGAAGGTTGGGAATATATGTTGGATATGAATCTCCATCAATAATAAAATACCTTGAACCAAAAACAGGTGATGTTTTTACAGCTCGGTTTGATGATTGTCATTTTAATGAAGAATTATTTCCCCCTTTAGGTGGGAATGAAAAGTCAAGTGAGAAAAATATTGAATGGAGAACATCATCACTATCATATCTTGATCCTCCCACCAAACAAAGAGAGCAAGAAGTTCAAAAAATTATACATCTGCAGAATATTGCAAATCAATTGCCAGATGAATTTACTGACACAAAAAGGGTGACAAAATCACATGTTGCAGCTATAAATGCCCCTGCTCGAATTGAGATTACAAAAGAAATGGCAAATGACGATGTGTCAAATGAATTAAAGGCACGCTTGAAACGAGGAAGGCCAGTGGGGTGTAAAGATAAGAATCCTCGAAAGAAAAGAGAAATTCAAGATTCGAATTTGAAAAAGAATCAAAATGATGGAAAAATTTCGGGAAAAAATGAAAATATTGAAATATCCATCAATTACGTAAATAATGGGAAACTTTGGAAGCGTGATGAGATCATTGATGATGCGTTCGCATATATGGTATCACAAGAAATTGACAAAGAAGTTGAGGACCCTGAACCAAAATCTATGATTGAATGTCAGAAAAGACATGATTGGGACAAGTGGAAAGGTGCTATTCAAGCCGAGTTAAATTCGCTTAATAAACGAAAGGTTTTTGGACCTATAACCATTATACCCAAAGACATAAAACCTATTGGGTACAAATGGGTTTTTGTCAGAAAAAGAAATGAGAAAAATGAAGTCACAAGATATAAAGCTCGCCTTATAGCACAGGGATTCTCCCAGAGGCCTGGGATTGATTATGATGAAACATATTCCCCTGTTATGGATGCAATTACTTTCAGATACTTGATTAGTTTGGCCATCCATGAAAATCTTGAGATGCGTCTTATGGACGTTGTGACTGCTTACTTATATGGGTCGCTAGACGCTGACATTTATATGAAAATTCCAGAAGGAATAGACGCTGACATTTATATGAAAATTCCAGAAGGAATTAGAATACCCGAGGCGCTAAAGTCCAAACCTAAAGAGTTCTGTGCGATAAAACTGCAAAGATCATTGTATGGCTTGAAACAATCCGGGCGTATGTGGTATAATTGTTTGAGTGAACAATTACTGAAACGGGGATACATAAATAATCAAATATGCCCGTGTGTTTTTATAAAAAGATCACAAGATGGAGTTGTGATAATTGTTGTCTATGTCGATGATCTTAATATTATTGGGACTACAAATGAAATTCAAGAAGCAGTCACTTTACTAAAAGGCGAGTTTGAAATGAAAGACCTCGGGCAGACCAAATATTGTCTCGGCTTGCAAATAGAACGGGTCCAAAATGGGATATTTGTCCATCAATCTAATTACACGAAAAGAATTCTGAAACGATTCAATATGGACAAGGCTAATCCACTTAGTGCCCCAATGGTCAATCGAACATTAGATGTCGAAAAGGATCCATTTCGACCTTGTGATGAAGATGAAGAGATACTTGGTCCTGAAATACCATATATGAGTGTCATAGGAGCTCTTATGTATCTTGCTAATTGTACTAGACCAGATATATCTTTCGCTACCAATTTATTAGCAAGATATAACTCGGCACCTACGAGGAGACATTGGAATGGAATTAAGCATATATTCCGTTATCTCCAAGGGACAATCGATTTGGGACTGTTGTATTCTAACAATAGAAAACATGAAATAATCGATTTTGCAGATGCAGGATATCTCTCAGATCCCCATAAAGCAAGTTCTCAAACTGGATACGTCTTTACAATTGGCGGAACTGCATTTTCTTGGCGTTCCCAGAAACAAACATTAGTTGCGACGTCTTCAAACCATGCCGAGGTCATTGCATTACATGAAGCAACTAGAGAATGCATCTGGCTCAGAAACATGACTCAACTCATTCAACAAGCCAGTGGACTATCAAATAATAATGACCCGACGGTGATATTCGAAGACAATGCAGCATGTGTCGCTCAAACAAAAGAAGGATACATCAAGAATGACAGAACTAAACATATCCCGCCAAAGTTATTCTTATATGCGCAAGAGCTTGAAAGAAACAAACAAATCACAGTTCAATACATTCGATCAAGCGATAATGCAGCAGATTTGTTTACGAAGGCGCTTCCGACGACAATATTTCGAAAGCACGTGCACAATATTGGGATGAGACATCTTCGGGATTTGCACGGATAATAACTCGAGGGGGAGTATGTGCGAATGTACTCTTTTTTCCTTGTCTCGGTTTTTTTCCCACAGGGTTTTTCCAGATAAGGTTTTTAACGAGGCAGCATAAACGCACATTTAATAGTGGTAATTCCAAGGGGGAGTGTTATACATAAGTGGAATCTTACCACTATTAAACATTATCATTGTAATTATTATATTATTAGTGTGTGTGTTGCATTGAATTGTGTGCCCAAAATGTGCCTATAAAAGGCAAGTGTTTCTTACAATTTATGTACGAAAAAAGTAGTGAAGAAGGAAAGATATTTCAGTACAATTGATATCCGATTTTTATACATTGTGTTCTTTATTTTCATCGCATTTCATAACATATCCCAAATTTTTGTCGTCCTGCTGCAGACGCCTCATTTCATTTCATCTTTCAATTAGCCAATTTCTTTCTCATATATTCCTATTTCTTCCATTTTCGTTCTTTCAGTTGGCCAAAGTTTTATTTCATATATTCATTTTATTCTCTTTCCACAGGCAGCAAGGAAATTGTTTTTTTTCCCTAGTTCAATAATCCTTACCCTCTTGTGATTGATAATCCTCAATTCCGTTCAAGTTAGGATTTGTGGGAGTACATGGATACTAGTTCATCGCCATACACCAAACCCTTTAAGAATACACCAAAACCTCTTCTTCCCCTTCCAAATTCCTTTGCACAATGAACGTCCAACCACTTCTGGACAATTGAAATCCTTCGGCCAAAGGTCCCGAGCTTCGATGACTTTGACTCAGTGGACGGCAGACTGCAGTGACTGCCACAGTGTCACCTCGAAGGAGGTTGTCATGTATTCATTTTTTCTTTTTCTTTTTTTAATACTATTTTTGTTCTCTTTTTTGGCTTAGGAATTTTAACACTAGAGACTTCAGGGTGTTTCTTAGTTTTCTTTCAGGGGCGAATTTTAGTCATTTGGTCAGAAATTGAAAGAGTCAGATAAAACAAAAAAACCCACACTACTCTACTCTGAATCAAGTTTATCACCTGACTAGAGTAATACACAGGCTATCCCACAGGCCACAATTCTAGTTGACAAATTACAAACATCCGATGCTTTCCCACCAACCAAACAAGGCTGTAGTGTCTTGTTATGTAAATCACAAGGAACTACAAACCATTGTAAGTACCCAAAACGAAATTGTAACTTTCATTCATCATCAGATTCCAAGAGATTGGTGAATGAAATGGATATCAATGCCAAATCATGTGATCAAATGTTCACGAAACCAAACCAATAAAACACACGGAAACCAAATGCTATATACATACAATGCTCACGTTTTGGAAACAAACCACGAATTTGTAGTGTTGCACGGCATTAAAAAAAGGTTTTATATCTAACAATCACTACCACAACTGAATATAGAGGAAATATTAAGCCTATATGGATATCCAAATTTTAGAAGAGTTCAAATGGAGAAGCAAACTAAAGCAAATGCAAAACACAAATTCCACATCCACAATGATAACCTTACCAGTACACAAAAAGTTCATCAAGAGCATATTAAAGTAATAATATATTTCCACCACAACCGCGTTCTTTCCTCTTTTTCACTTCTCAAACCTGCCGTGCCCATTTATCTGTCCTTAATCCTTGAAGTATTCAAGAACCACAACAGGCTGACCTCTGGGCAGGTTGGCTACCTCCAGCACCACCTTCGGGCTGATTAATTCTGATCGTTGTTGGCTGTACAAGGCATACAAAAAAAGTTCGTCAACATGGATCCTAAACTAAAGCTATAATCATGTTAAGAAAAGCAACCGAATTAAGTGCAATTTACTTCTGCTCTGGTGTCAGCTTCTGAAAGCCTTTGCTTTATATCCCTAGCTATTGAAAAGAAAACTTCTTCCACATTAAGATTCGTCTTAGCACTCTGCGGCAGACAAAGTTATTAGAAATGCACATAAATTGATTGTCCTCACTACAGAAGTTAAATAGTACTCACAGTTTCAAAGAATTTAATTCCATACTCATCTGCAAGTGCTTGACCCTTGGAAGTAGGCACGGCCTACACAGTATGAAAAGCAGATAAAATAACACGAGATATATAACAAGTAATGGGAATCAGAAAACCAACAGGTTGCACAGCAGAACTTTTGCAGACTGCCTTGATGTCAACTTTTGCAAAGTAAAATTTGGTGTTTTGAGATTAACCTACTCAACTTAGAATAGAAAAAACTTTCTAACTGGAAGGTAAAACCAACAAGTTGCACAGCAGAACTTTGCAGCAACTGCCTTGATGTCAACTTTTTGCAAAGTAACATGTTGTGTTTTGATAACAACCTACTCAAGTTCGAATATGAAACCATTCTAATTTGGATGTACAAAGGTACATATCAAACCCACTTCTCGGTAGACTACTATAGTATCCTAATAGATCGACAATGACGTGAACGACATTGCAAAATCCAATATTAAATACCAAAAAGGCTTAGCATATTGATTTACATGATACCTTTAGAGTCAAATGTGTCCGAAAAAACTTGGTTTTGAACACAACACCAACATTTAATGCAACATTTAATGTGGGAAAACATATTTTCATTGCAAAAAATCAAGTCTCGAAACAACAGTGTAATCATTAAAAAAGCCATGAAAAAAGACAACCCCTTCAATAAAGGACTTTGGTTGAACAAAACTGCTTTGTTTCGAAAGGTTTCATATATTGATCGTTAGATAAAATTCGGTGACAGATGTCTAACAATATCCCTAAATTTCTTCCCATTCTATCTTATAAATATTGGTAAAAGGACCAGTTACAGCTCTTTGTCTTCACATGTAAAATTTGACTACAAAATACCAAGTATTTCACAACACTAGGGCAGCCACTTATGAAAACAGTAACAGAAAGTTCCAAATTATTCCTCATGCCCATTCAGAGACAGACGAAAGTCACTCATAAGTCGACTTGTGTGTTTAAACAAGAGCTACATCATATCATATATTAACAACTAATAAACAATACTGAAAGAAGTCGACAAAATATATGTACCCTTTTGCTTTCGTCCATGTCAGCTTTGTTCCCTACCAATATCTTGTTGACATTGTCAGAAGCATGTTGTTCAATGTTTCTAATCCAATTCCTAATGTCTGAACAGAGAAATGCATCAACAAGCAATAAATATAAACATAAAGAACAGAAGTAAAGAATATTGAACCATTGCCATACAGTTTTATTTCTTAATCTCCTTTTCTTTCACATTGATTTCTTTTCCTTTTCCTTCTTCTGTTTTTATTATTTTTTCTAATTCTTTCCTTTACCGTTCGAAAGGAAGTTAGAATGGTATTTGCAAAATATAAGGGGAAAACCTGCATTCTCCACGATCATCGACTTTTCAACATCTCATGCGAGAGAGATGTGAAGAGTTTCACAGCCCAAAATGGAAAATAAACAAAGCAGCCATACAGGAAATCAAAGGTGTAGTTCACAATAACCAGAAAAGGCAACCACTTCATTACAATAGTTTGGGCCAGTACGAGATGCATAACTCTGTCTAAGAAACAGAAAAGTAATAAAGCTCAATTTAGAAATATTAATTTTGCTCTCATTTCCAGTATACAGGTGGTAAACAATAAATAGACTCGAGGGAGGGCATGCTGATTCACCTAGTAAGCTAAAAGCCACAGAAAGGAGCAAAACTAACATCACACTACCGGATCACCGAGGATATAAGAAACCTTACTGTTAAATGAGGACTCATCTGTGACATCATAGACTAGCAATATACCCATTGCGCCACGATAGTAAGCTGAAAAATAAATGAGGAAACATAATTGAACTTATTTGATTCACTTGTTAAGCATAACTACCAAATATGCAGATATAAAACATTATTCAACATTAAAATAATAAGTGGAAAACAAAAAAACAGACAAGAAGCAGTGATAATTTACGAAATGAGGTACACACGTGTGATTTGTGAAACTATTATAAAACCTCTACATATGGTATTATGAGAGACAGTGAAAATAAGAGTAGAACAACAAAGTTGAACTCTAATCACTCAAAATTATGTGCATTAGATGCTTCAAACTCAACATTAACTTCTACGTACAAAAACAAAAAAAAAAAAAAAAAA